GTTTTGTCGTCTTGGATCATGGAGCGCTTTGATTACTTAGACCCACAGGCTGAGGAGGCTCAGATCGACAGGTTCGCTCGAGTGTGACTCTGGCACTTTCTTGGTGCTTTCCTCTTCCCAGACGCCTCGGGCAACACCATCAGCTGGATCTTCCTTGACATACTACACCAACCGTGGGAGAACATAGCGGCGTACAGCTGGGGTAGCGCAGTCCTGGCATGGACATATCGACAGCTATGCGTTGCCCACCGTCGCACCTCAGGGTATGCGAACCTTGGAGGTTGCTCGTACCTACTCCAGGTTTGGTGTTAGGAATGATGGCCCGTTGGGAGGCCCCTTAAAACCGGTTTGCTGGTAAGTACTTCGGTTTATTATATTCTTCGATATGGTTACATATGATGAGTTTATTAATGGCTAATTCATTATCGTGTTCAATGCAGCAATGGAACGGGCATGATACACTCCCTACAACTCTGTTTATCTGGACGAAATCAGAGCTAGTTAGAGGGAATGCGAGGCGCAAGTACAGGAAGTACACGGACAGTCTCGACGTCCTGACACAGCACCAGGTTACGCTCTATTTACTATCATACCTGTGTCTTGTTCGATCTACACTATATCACAGCCTAACTCAATTATGAAATGTTCAGGTGCATTGGTGTCCTTGGGATGCTCCGGAGCTCCAGTACTATCTCAGTCCTGTCACTAGGGACGAGTCAGAGGAGTATCGCTGCAACGTCCCTCTTATTTTCTTCCACGTGGTCGAGATTCACTTGCCCGTCAGGGTCTGCAGACAGTTTGGAAGAATGACAGGCTGCCCACCACCGCTTTACTCCACCAACCAAGGATTGAACGGGTGCGTTATCGATTAATAACAAAGCTACAATTCAGAGATGTGTGTGGTACAACTAACATCGTTTTGTTGCAGGTATGATCGTAGGAAGAGGTACAAGACCAAGGATTAGCACGTGACACACAATGCGCACATCCACTTGTGAGAGATCAGGGAACGGCAGCCGGTCCATGCGGGTCCTTCACACGACCAACACACCTTCGACGAGTACTTGCACTGGCTTCACAGGTCTATGAGGACACATATCAAGCCCCCGTATACTGAGGAGGCGATTGACGAGGACTCGGAGGAAGATGTAATCGAAGATGTGTACGACGTTGCCACTAGAGAGGACACACAGCTACAGAGAGCCCTGCTACAAAGATACGTGGTAAGACACTTGAATGGTATAATTTGTTATCCATTTGGTATTAAGTATGTATACTAAAACTGTTCAACCGCGTTTCTGTACCCAGGCGACACAATTGTCGAGGCTGTCCAACGAAGCAGCGTTCTGGCTTCACGAGTCTAGAGGGCAGGGGCCAAGCGTTCTCGAGGCTTTTGTGGAGGTAAACATAAACTAGTCCGTTCTAAAATTGTTTCTTTAGTGTTTATGCGTTTGGGAAATGCACTAACTTTAACGTCTATTTATGCAGAAGGTGAAGAAGAGCTGCAGGAAGCTAGCTCAAAAGCTGAGCTGCATGGACACTCCTCATGAGGAACCGACACTCCCGGCGCGGTCAGGTGACACATCTTTAGCCTCTTTGAGGACACTAGCCGGCTCTTCTCAGCCGGTGACAGGTGCCACTTCCGTGGTGCATACACCACCACATCATAGCGCTGGGAAGGACCCTGCAACTGAGGACGACGACGATGACCCCCCGGGCTTCTGCAGACAGCACGACCAATGGGACGATTGGCCGCAGGACGAGATCAGCATGTCTCCGCTAGGTGGTACCCCGCTTGGTACCCAAAGAGCCTCACAGGTAATAACAAAGGTAGTTTCTTTAAATACGTAGGCTACATGAACTAACGATCATAAAGAATTCTAAGTAATCGTGCATATTATATACTTGCAGGGTACGAGCCGTACGCACCGGCGACGCAACCACACCGATGCTGGCTATACTCCCAATGTGTTGCCAACAAATCCGAAGAGACAGAGGCGTCCGAAGAATCCTTACACTCCTGGGTCTTACTTTGTTAGGTCGAACTATTATTGGCGTACAAAATTTGCAGGCTAAGTTGGTTATGTTATGTCGAACTTATGTTAAACCAATGAAAATGTTATGTGGCAACTTGTCAACTTGCGCACGGACTTCATTTATTTGCTTCATATTCGTTTCAATGCGTCGCGGCATCACTGCATACGAGATTAAGTAGCAACTAGTTCGAAAACCGGCAGTCTCGGGGTATCTCGACGCCGGTGGCCGGTGTCTTGCGCGAGGGGTCGAGGAAGCCGGGGTCCATGGTCGCGTCACCGCCGATCCTACAATATGGGGCCAAAAAGCCAAATAAATAAGTTCCCTTAAAAAACATTTGTTTCAATCCGATTCAATTTTTCGTAAGCGATTAGTTAACATGGTGGTTAACCGTATTATGAAAGACGGAAAAATATCATTGCCTTATCAAATTCTCTATTCGGCTGTGAAAAAAATTCAACAAAAGATAGAAACAAATCCACTATTAATTTTACGTCAAGCAATACTTAGAATAACTCCCACTATCGGCGCGACGCGTTCCGATTAAACCGTCCAGGTACCGTCAGGTGGGCGGCGGGCGCAGCGGCCAGGCGGGCTTGCTGCTCGGGCAGGCGGGACTGGCCGCGGGGTTTCATTCGGCTCTGCCGCGCCACAGATCAGGGCGCGGCACTGCCGCGCCAAGGTCGATGGCGCGGCAGGCCTTGCCACGTCATCGGTCAGCGATTCCGATCGCCGCCACGTCAGCCCTCGCGCGGCCAAAAGTGTTAGTTTTAAAAAAAACAGACAGTGTTAGATTTAAAATTAATTTTCAAAAAGTGTTAAAATTAAAAAAAAAAATCTTATAGAGGAGGGGGGGCAGGCATAGGGCCGAACGTCCGGGCGTTAGTTACTCCCGTAATGGATAGGTTGGCACGACGCAGTTCCTATTGCATTAAATCATATTTAACAAATTCCAATAAATTTTGCTAAAAAAGTCATGTGCGAACGCAAACTATTAGTTTTAAGATCCGACTTTTGATGTGGGGCAAGAAGTTAGATCTTACCGTGGCACGTAATAGCGTCATGTCACTTTGAATCATATCTAACAAATCTGAGCCAATCTTATTAAAATTTTAACGTGTGAACATGAGCTTTTAGCTTCAGGGTTTGACTTTTGACATGGGACCCACAGATATTGCCATGTTAATTGACACTGAGTAGCTTAATGCTATTTTGGATCATATTCAATAAATTTTAGTCATTTTCGTTAAAAAAATTAAGATGTGAGCGTGAGCCTTTAGTTCCAAGTTCAGCTTTTGATGTGAAACCTACATGCAGATTTTACTGCGTTAATTGGCACAAAATAGCTTCATGTCACAATAAATTTCTATCAATTTTGCTAAAATTCTAAGGTGTGAATGCAAGGTTTTAGTTCTACAGTCTGGCTTTAATGTGAGATCCACATGTTGATCCAGCTGTTCTAATTAGCACGGAGTAGCTGCTTGTTTCATAATAATTTTTAGTCAACTTTGATAATCATATAGAGTAAACACAATATTTTAAATCTAGAAGTCTGACTTTTTAATGTGGGCCTATATATTTTATGCAAACTTATATTCATCTTTTATATAAACCTGTAGTAGACATGGATTCAATTAGTTATGGGTTAGTTGAAACACTAAAAATGTAGGGTGAAGTGAGCTAGGAAGAGAGTTCATTTGATATAGGTTGGGTTGGGTAAGGGAACATACGTTAGGCTGTCCACAACATGTTCCCTGAGTGGTACCCAAAAAGGACACAAGCTTTAGGCATCACTTCTACCACTCCTTCCGTTCCAGAAAGAAATTTGTTATGGTACACGTGCATGTTAAACTTTTTTTTAACTTTGATTAGGTTTATAAAAAATGCGTGCAACATTTATATCTCCAAATAAGTTTACTATGAAAGTATATTCAACGATGATACTAATTATATATTATAAATATTAATATTCTTTTATATAAAATTCGTCAAAGTTAAAAAAAAGTTGATTTCTCAGAAAACGAGAGCGACTTCTATTTTTGACAGAGTGAGTAACAACTAATCCCAATTCAGAGTGGTGCCAGAAAAAGGAGGAATGGTGAACGTTCAGATGCCAATTCCAACTTCTTAAAAAAAATCCATAGCAGTAGTTCTGCTGCGAATGAACTGAACAAAGGAAAACGAACGGAGATATTTTTTTAGGTGGTACTGAAAGATTCTCAATAGCTTATGTGCCTGAAAATTTATACGCTGCAGCACTTAGGGGTGTGATATCTATTGTTAGTGTGAAATTTGAGGCACGACGTGAGCAAGGGCCATCTCTAGGAATTTGAGGTCAAATTGCGAAATTTGAAATGGGGCCTCAAATTTATTTAAATTTAATACACATCCCCCCCCCCCTAACAAATACATACTCCTCAAATTTTTGACGGCTCCGTATTTTTTTAGGCCTTGTTTCGTCAACTATGTTACCCCCTACTGGTCGATAGCCCTGACGTTAGCCATCCATCCTCTTGTCACATGGGAGTAGAGCGCTATCCGCACACAGGGTCCACCAAATATTTTTCCCACATGGCCAACGAGATCGACTTCAACATGGACCTCACACCGCTCCCTCAAGGACTGTTGTGTTGTGAGAACTCAGTTGCTCAAGGCATAGTGGGCAACGGAAATCAAGTTTTGGTGATCATTTCAAGACCGGTAGCATATCCCAGATACACTGTTGTGTTGTGGCGACCGTAGTATAGTATTCTTCTTGATGACCTTAGCACAACATGTCTAGGATCTTTAGGTAAGCTTCTCAGTTTATGTGATCAAATTACTAATCCTGAAGAAGATACAAGTTCCTCTATATGAAGTTCAGAATTTCAGGAGCACAAGAAGCAGCTATAGCAGTGTGCATAAAACAGCCGGACACAATCACTGCCAAGAAACTACCATGGGCTTTCGGAAGAAAGACAAACAAACTACCGCGGCACACGTGAGGACGACAGAAATTCCTGCTCAAGACTGTACCGCCGTGAACCATGGTGACATGCAGGCACCAGAATAGCGCCACCAAGCCCACTGATCCTCTCACCAACACGAGGCGGAGCAACAGATTGGCGACCCCTTAACATTTGCAGCCTCATCTCCACATCTTTCATGGTAGGCCTGTCCCCTCGTGTCAGACTGAGGCACTCCTCAGCCAGCCCAGCCACACCTGCAATCGCTTCCTCACTTGCTTCACCCGAAATCTGTCTGTCAACAACCCCCTCGAGGGGCCTCTCCTCCTTAGCCCACAAGAAATAGTTCGTCAGGTTCTGCTTCTCGCCATTCTCGTTCTCGAAGATTGGCTTCTTCCTTGTCAGCAACTCAAAGAAGTATCACTCCGAAACTATAAACATCACTCTTCTCGTTGAGTTGGCCAGTGTGATAGTATTCAGGGGTCCAAGTATCCAAATGTGCCCTCACGGCAGTTACTAGATGTGTCTCGATCAATTGGGATCGACCTCGTCGACGCTACCAAAATCTGAAACCTTAGCTATGTAACTGTCATTAAGAAGTACGTTCATGCTCTTGACATCTCTGTGAAGAATTGACACCGTAGCTGCTGAGTGCAAATAAGTGAGAGCACCGCCGATCTCGACGGCAATCCTTAGACGCTCCTCCCAAGGTAATGGCAACAGGATACCATTCTGCTCATGGTGCAGGAGGTCATATAATGTGCCGTTGGAGATGAACTCGTAGACAAGCAATGGGACCTCGGCCTCAAGGCAGCAGCCGTGAAGCTTCACCACGTTCCGGTGGTTGATCCGTGAGAGGATGGATACCTCGTTGATGAACTGCTCAATCTCTGAGCTTGCCTCGACCTTTGACCTCTTGATAGCCACGACACGTTGGTCAGACAGGATGCCCTTGTACACAGTGCCATGGCCACCACGACCGACCACACGGGTGGGATCAAAATTGTTGGTTGCCTTCTCTAGCTCTTCAAGGGAGAATATCTTTGTGCCATCACTTGCGTTTTCTTGGTCTGTAGAGATTAGTTGTTCTAGGAGAATACCTTTGTTTTTGCGGAAATACCTCTTTCTAAGCTGTTTCTGAACGCTCCTCTTCCATCTCCGTGTAAGAAGTGCAAAGACTGCGCCAAGGAATAGAATGCCACCGCCACTGCTTAGTCCAATGGTCACACCTGCATTGGGTGTACACTTGAGACACAGAGGCCGTAATTTTTTTTAGAAAGGCGGCATGTAATCCAACTGGGCAATTCTATGATCTGGGACACGATCATATAATCACCAGGACGGATATTTAAAAATTGTGTAAGTAGCTTACCTAATATTACAAGTTTGCTTTCTCTTTGATGCTTGCCAGTGCTAATACTTGTGCATCCGTATCTAAGGTAAGGATTTCCTCCAAATCCATGAGAGCACTTGCACTGATAACCAACGTGTTTGAGTGATAGCATTTCGTCTGTGACATCCAAGCAATCACTATTAGAGAAGCATCTATAATCCTCAGACGCCATTGCATCCTTACAGGTCTTGTTGTCGACGGCCCACCTCAACACGCGTTCACCAGAGAAAGCGTACAAAGGGGCTCCCAGGTAGGCCAAGGAACTGCCTGTATCTGATAAGTTGAGAATACGCAGGATACCTTCGTCGATGGATATGTCAGTGACCACCGAACCATCGGGCATTTGAAGGATAGGAGAAGGCCTTGGGTTACATGTTAGATACAGTGGAAGCTTTGCAAAGCAACCTAATTCTGTTCCAAAGGGAAATGCAATGCTAATGTTGCCGCACAATCTTGGGCAATTCTCTTTCGGCTGCATAGAGTCGTAATCTGTTGCAAGGGGAAAAAAGTCTCATTCCAAATGTTTTAGTAAAAGGAAAATACCAACATTAAATTAAATGACATTTGACCAACGGTAAAAATCATTTGTACCATCAGTTATTAAGCACCAGCAGTCACATATGAACTACAGAGGCACGAAACATGCATTATACAACATGACGACATGATAATATAAGCAGTTTTTGTGATAATCTGTAGTATTCATATCAAAATATATGCACTCATATGGGCGAACTCAATTTAAGCTGGATGTCACTCGAAATTATAGAACAAACTAAATAATTGGTCAACTCTTAGTAGTATTTATATCATGTACTGATAATATTAAAAATGTTTATGTTTGTTCATGTTGAAGCAAGCAAAAAGTGTCTGTTTGCATGTTTGAGTGAGATATATTGAAATTTATTACATGTCCATGCAAATTTGGGTTAACATTTTTTTTTTAAAAAGTCCACGATGAGATCTACTCCCTCCGTCCCATAAAGAATGTCATTCTTACTTCTCGAGAAGTCAAACCATCTCAACTTTGACTAAATATATATAAAACAATAAATATTTATGATGTATAATTAGTACTGAATATAATTTTCTATAAACTTATTTGGACATATAGATGTTGCTAATATTTTTTACAAATTCAGTCAAATTTGAAAGAGTTTGACCGGCACGAATCCCATAACGTCATTCTTTTTGAGACGAAGGGAGTACAATTTTGTCGTTGACAATTTTTTAGCTTAAGCCATTTAGATACCTAGGGAACCCCCTTCAAGTTCTCTACAAGGTTTATTTGGTATTGTTATGCCCAATAATAACTCATCTATTAATAATTTATTTTTTGTGCTAAATATTTACTGCTACTATATTAACTAGTATTCAAAAATATCTTGTTATGATTATAGTTCAGTGTTCCCTTCATTTCAAACTACAAGTTATGTTATTTTTGTTCTAAGTTAGAAAAAATGGTTGACCAAGTTATAGAAAAATGAACGGACATTTACAAAACCAAATTATAAATCCATCATGAAATGTCTTGAATTTGGTTAATATATTTTTATATGAACTTGATTTAAGTTAGAGAATTTTGACAGAGACCAAAATTAAAACAACTCACATTTTGGTACAGGGTATATATCACGTAGATAAAATAACAATGAACTAATTATTGGTCAAAGTCTTTCTTGTGCTAATGAAACAAAAAACGTCTAAAGTTTCGGCTACAAAAGTTAAGGCCTTGTTTAGATACCCTCAAAATTCCAAGTTTTTTCACTCTCTCTCCATCACATCAATTTTTAGCCGTTTGCATGGAGCATTAAATGTAGGTAAAAAAATAACTAATTGCACAGTTTAGTTGGAAATCACGAGATGAATCTTTTGAGCTTAGTTGGTCCATGATTGGACAATATTTATCAAATAAGACGAAAGTGCTATTATTCATCGGGTTGAAATTTTTTTCAATCTAAACAAAGCATAAAAAGGAAACTAACAAGGACTGATAGGTGACTAGTGAGAGGACATACGAACCTTCATGAAAATCATGAGGCTGGTGGGTCCGACTCCGGCAAAAAGCAGCCGATGACGACGTACGGATTGCCATAGAATCCTTGCGAACAGTTGCAAAAATATCCACCAATCGGTGCTTCCTGACAATTGCTGTGGCTACTAACGCACGCATAGCTGGCTTTGTCCTCGTTGGCGCGTTTACAGTTGAGCTGATTGGGAATAGCCCAAGAGCCTCTTCGCTTGCTCATAAACGATCGTAAATTTTCAGTCGGGAACAGTGTTTTTCTCTCACACCAAACCAGCCAGTAGTAAATAATACACGATACGATACGGCCTCCCGAACAGGCTGCAACTCATCAGTGCGGTTGGATAGTCGTAGTCATGGAGGTCCAATGGCAGGAACAGTTGATCGGTGATGAACACACTCACTTGCTCAAGCCCCTGCGCTGCTTGTGGCCATGCTTATAATCCGTACTTTTCAGCTTGTTTTTTTAGCCAAAACAGTATTTTTCTCTCACAACAAATCAGTCGGAACAATGTTTCAACTTGTTTTTTCAGCGAAGCGAATGGGGCCTTAGTGTGGCGCGAGATGTTGAGAGTAAATGATCTTAGTGCCACCATAATAGCGGTGCTACAGTATCCCATGCCGACTTGAGATCCTCCTATACAGGCAACGTAGCAGTTGCCAAGTTCAACAGCGGAGTCCCCGATGAACAACGTCGCCTTAACAGAGCAGCCAACAACGAAGAGGGCCACGTTAGAGGAGCCAAAGATGGCGAAGGGTCTGCCTGGAGCCTCCCAGTGCACGGAGTAGTTCTGGGCAGGAGTTAGCTTCACAAAGTAGCTGATGTTTGCGTGGACGGCAGGAAACGAATCCTGAAGCAACGGCGGCAAGTCGAATTCCCACACCCTAATGCTTGGGTTGCCTAGCAGTAGTGGGTTACTAGGGTTGTTGACGCCCTTCGCACAGGTGAGATTGAAGCCCGGCAGGGAGCACTCTGCCCCTATCCCGAACAGATACGCGATGGAGATGCCATCACATCGGTCAGGGCAGCTGCTTCGCCTCGTCTTCACCGAGACAGCTGTTGGACACAGCGCAACGAGTAGTCCGAGCACAAGCGTTGCCATGGCTATACTCTGTCTTCTATACTACTGAGAGGATATATGCTCGGACGTAGTGGGTGTTCGGATGTAGAGACTAAAGTTTAAGAGGTGTCTTATGAAGTGTCGCATGAGATTTTCGGATACTAATAAAAAAATAAATTACAGCCGTCATTAATCCACGAGACGAATTTATTAAGCCTAATTAATCTATCATTAGCATATGTTTATTATAGCGCTACATTGTCAAATTATGGACTAATTAGGTTTAAAAATTCGTCTCGTAAATTAATCTTAATCTATGTATTTAGTTTCATAATTAGTCTATATTTAATACTCCACGTATATGTTCAAATATCCGATGGGACAGCGACTAAAGTTTAGATAGTTTATATTGACCAGCGTGTGAGACCAGTCATGTCAGTTTCGGGACTTGAACTCTGCTCTGGATGGCAATGTCATGTCATGGAGAGTCCCTGGCCTAGAGAAATCTTCTGTGATCTCTGCCGTGGAAGAAGGGCAAACGCCGGATGCCGACTCTTTGCTCTTTCACTCTGTTGGTTGATGCTGAAATTTGGTTTATGCTGATGCTTATGCTAAAATGGTATAAGAGAAAAATATTGTTTTATAACTGAAAAGTAGTTGTGAATAAGACGAACAGGGTGCTCATCTCCTCGGTGAAATTCCGGCTCCGGCTCCAAGCTTGACGTGCTTCAATCTCTTCGTTAGTTAAAGCAGGTCAAAAAGTGAAGCTCCCCCTCGGATGGTGGCAACCAGGCAACGTGTTGGACCAGAGCTATCAGCTATTTGTGCGATCATGCCCCCCACATCCACAGCTCAGAAGCGACCAAACGAAACTACGAAAGCGTGTTAGGACCACAATCCAGCAGCATTTGATTTCCCCTCCAATTCCCACGGGGAATGATTGATCCAAAGAAACCAAGTCTGGATTTCCAAAGAGGCTCACGTGTTTGCTCCATTTTTGCCCTACAAACAAAATTGACGCCTCAGGGCTGCAGAAATGATAAAACATCAAAATACTCTCAAGAACACAATGATAGCTTCAACCTTAGCGTGGTATCTGGTATGCGCAAGGACGACCCTAAAATGAATTTGAGGAGTATGTAACTATATATGTATCAAGATTTGAGGGCTCTGTATTTTTTAGGCCCTGTGTTCATCGACTATGTTGCCCCTACTGGTCGACAGCCCTGACGTCAGCCATCCATCCTCGGTCACATGGGAATGGGAGAGCTATTTGCACACAAGGTCCACCAAATTTTATTTTCCACTCGGGAGATCGACTTCAACATGGACCTCACACCGCTCCCTCGAGGACTGTTGTGTTCTAGGAGCTCAGTTGCTCAAGGCATAGTGGGCAACGCAAATCAAGTTTTGGTGATCATTTCAAGACCGGTAGCATATCCCAGATACACTGTTGTGTTTGTGGCAACCGTAGTATAGTATTCTCCTTGAGGACCTTGGCACAACATGTCTACGATCTATAGGTAAGCTTCCCAGTTTAGGTGATCAAATTACTAATCCTAAAGAAGATACATGTTCGTCTATATGAAGTTCGGAGTACAGAATTTTAAGAGCACAACAAGCAGCTATAGTAGTGTACATACAACAGCCAGACACAATCACTGCCAAGAAACTACCATGGGCTTTCGAAAGAAAGAAAAACAAACTACCGCGGCACACTTGCGGACGACAGAAATTCCTGCTCAAGGCTGTACCGCCGTGAACCATTCTGACCTGCAGGCACCGGAACAGCACCACGCCGCTCACCGTCACAACGAGGCGGGGCGACGGACTGACGACCCCTCAACATTTGGAGCCTCATCTCCACATCTTTCATGGTTGGCCTATCCCCTCGTGTCAGACTGAGGCACTCCTCTGCCAGCCGAACCATACTCCTAATTGCTTCCTCACTTTCAACACTTAGAATCTGCTTGTCAACAACCTCCTCAAGGGGCCTCTCACCTATAACCCATAAGAAATAGTTCGACAGGTTCTGCTTCTCGCCATTCTCATTCTCGAAGATTGGCTTCTTCCTTGTCAGCAGCTCGAGAAGTATCACTCCAAAGCTGTAAACATCACTCTTCTCGTTGAGTTGCCCGGTGTGGTAGTATTCAGGGTCCAAGTATCCAAATGTGCCCTGCACGGCAGTTACTAGATGTGTCTGATCAATTGGGATCGACCTCGACGCGCCAAAATCTGAAACCTTAGCTATGTAACTGCTCATTAAGAAGTACGCTTCATGCTCTTGACATCTCTGTGAAGAATTGACACCGGCTGCCGAGTGCAAATAAGTGAGAGCACCGCCCGATCTCGACGGCAATCCTTAGACGCTCCTCCCAAGGTAATGGCAACAGGATACCATTCTGCTCATGGTGCAGGAGGTCATATAATGTGCCGTTGGAGATGAACTCGTAGACAAGCAATGGGACCTCGGCCTCAAGGCAAAGAAACAGAAGCTTCACCACGTTCCGGTGGTTGATCCGTGAGAGGATGGATACCTCGTTGATGAACTGCTCAATCTCCGAGCTTGCCTCGACCTTTGACCTCTTGATAGCCACGACACGTTGGTCGACAGGATGCCCTTGTACACAAAGTGCCATGGCCACCACGACCGACCACACGGGTGGGATCAAAATTGTTGGTTGCCTTCTCTAGCTCTTCAAGGAGAATATCTTTGTGCCATCACTTGCGCTTTTCTTGGTCTGTAGAGATTAGTTGTTCTAGGAGAATACCTTTGTTTTTATGGAAATACCTCTTTCTAAGTTGTTTCTCGAACGCCTCTTCCATCTCCGTGTAAGAAGTGCAAAGATCTGCGCCAAGGAATAGAATGCCACCTCCACTGCTTAATCCAATGGTCACACCTGCATTGGGTGTACACTTGAGACACAGAGGCCGTAATTTTTTTTAGAAAGGCGGCATGTAATCCAACTGGGCAATTCTATGATCTGGGACACGATCATATAATCACCAGGACGGATATTTAAAAATTGTGTAAGTAGCTTACCTAATATTACAAGTTTGCTTTCTCTTTGATGCTTGCCAGTGCTAATACTTGTGCATCCGTATCTAAGGTAAGGATTTCCTCCAAATCCATGAGAGCACTTGCACTGATAACCAACGTGTTTGAGTGATAGTATTTCGTCTGTGACATCCAAGCAATCACTATTAGAGAAGCATCTATAATCCTCAGACGCCATTGCATCCTTACAGGTCTTGTTGTCGACGGCCCACCTCAACACGCCGTGTTCACCAGAGAAAGAGTACAAAGGGGCTCCCAGGTAGGCCAAGGAACTGCCTGTATCTGATAAGTTGAGAATACGCAGGATACCTTCGTCGATGGATATGTCAGTGACCACCGAACCATCGGGCATTTGAAGGATAGGAGAAGGCCTTGGGTTACATGTTAGATACAGTGGAAGCTTTGCAAAGCAACCTAATTCTGTTCCAAAGGGAAATGCAATGCTAATGTTGCCGCACAATCTTGGGCAATTCTCTTTCGGCTGCATAGAGTCAATCTGTTGCAAGGGGAAAAAAGTCTCATTCCAAATGTTTTAGTAAAAGGAAAATACCAACATTAAATTAAATGACATTTGACCAACGGTAAAAATCATTTGTACCATCCAACGTTTTAAATCGCGAGCTATCAATTTTAGCGTGAGACTGTCCTGGGCGCTATTGGCGCTATAGCGAACGCTATAGCGACGCTATGGCTCCGCTATAGCGGCAGCTAAATGCAGTAGCGTCAACTGACTGCTCACGCTATAGCGCCGCTATTTGCACGCTATAGCGCGCTATTTGTTTACAATTCCAGAAAACATAAAAATCTATCAATCCCCAATCACTCAATGTCTCAATCTAATAACTCATAACTCATAAGTGATAACTGATAACATCCACCATAGTAATCATAAGAGCAAAGTAGCAGATAGCCAAACAGGCAACATAACCACATGAGGTTCATGCATGCAAAGCCAAACAATCATAAAAGGATTAAACTTTAAAGTTTAAATGCATAAAACCATAAACTCATGAAGTACACACTTTGCATTCCACATCCACAGCACAGGCAGAGCTGTTCTTTTTTTTGGTAATGACCGGGCCGGGCTGTTCAATTTGGCAATTTTGGGACATCCAGCAATAGCGGCTGGTTAGCGGCGCTATGGCGCTAAACGCACATAGCGGCGCTTTAGCGCGCAATAACGGCAATAGCGCGCATAGCGCAAAAATGAGCAATTGCGTCGCGCCAGTTTCTGTGGGCCGCTATAGCGTCGAAATAGCGCGCTATTTTTTTCGTGGGTACCATCAGTTATTAAGCACCAGCAGTCACATATGAACTACAGAGGCACGAAACATGCATTATACAACATGACGACATGATAATATAAGCAGTTTTGTGATAATCTGTAGTATTCATATCAAAATATATGCACTCATATGGGCGAACTCAATTTAAGCTGGATGTCACTCGAAATTATAGAACAAACTAAATAATTGGTCAACTCTTAGTAGTATTTATATCATGTACTGATAATATTAAAAATGTTTATGTTTGTTCGTGTTGAAGCAAGCAAAAAGTGTCTGTTTGCATGTTTGGGTGAGATATTTTGAAATTTATTACATGTCCATGCAAATTTGGGTTAACATTTTTTTTTTTTAAAAAAAGAGTCCGCGATGAGATCTACTCCCTCCGTCCCGTAAAGAATGACATTCTTACTTCTCGAGAAGTCAAACCATCTCAATTTTGGCTAAATATATATAAAACAATAAATATTTATGGTGTATAATTAGTACTGAATATAATTTTCTGTAAACTTATTTGGTCATATAGATGTTGCTAATATTTTCACAAATTCAGTCAAATTTGAAAGAGTTTGACCGGCATGAATCTCATAACGCCATTCTTTTTGAGACGGAGGGAGTACAATTTTGCCGTTGACAATTTTTTAGCTTATGCCATTTAGATACCTAGGGAACCCCCTTCAAGTTCTCTACAAGGTTTATTTGGTATTGTTATGCCCAATAATAACTCATCTATTAATAATTTATTTTTTGTGCTAAATATTTACTGCTACTATATTAGCTAGTATTCAAAAATACCTTGTTATGATTATAGTTCAGTGTTCCCTTCATTTCAAACTACAAGTTATGTTATTTTTGTTCTAAGTTAGAAAAAATGGCGTTGACCAAGTTATAGAAAAATGAACGGACATTTACAAAACCAAATTATAAATCCATCATGAAATGTCTTGAATTTGGTTAATATATTTTTTATATGAACTTGATTTAAGTTAGAGAATTTTGACAGAGACCAAAATTAAAACAACTCACATTTTGGTACAGGGTATATATCACGTAGATAAAATAGCAATGAACTAATTATTGGTCAAAGTCTTTCTTGTGCTAATGAAACAAAAAACGTCTAAAGTTTCGGCTACAAAAGTTAAAAAGGAAAATAACAAGGACTGATAGGTGACTAGTGAGAGGACATACGAACCTTCATGAAAATCATGAGAGGGAGCAGGAGCAGGTGTTGGTGCTGGTGGGTCCGGCAAAACGCAGCCGTTGACGACGTACGGATTGCCATAGAATCCTTGCGAACAGTTGCAAAAATATCCACCAATCGGTGCTTCCTGACAATTGCTGTGGCTACTAACGCACGCATAGCTGGCTTTGTCCTCCTTGGCGCGTTTACAGTTGAGCTGATTGGGAATAGCCCAACTCATCAGTGCGGCTGGATAGTCATAGTCATGGAGGTCCAATAGCAGGAACAGTTGATCGGTGATGAACACACTCACTTGCTCTATAGCCCCTGCGCTGCTTGAGCTTTTAGTGTGGCTCGAGATGTTGAGAGTAAACGATCTTAGTGTCACCGTAATAGCGATGCTACAGTATCCCAGACCGACTTGAGATCCTCCCATACAGGCAACGTAGCAGTTGCCAAGTTCAACAGCGGAGTCCCCGGTGAACAACATCGCCTTAACAGAGCAGCCAACAACGAAGAGGGCCATGTTAGAGGAGCCAGAGATGGCAAAAGGTCTGCCTGGAGCCTCCCAGTGCACGGAGTAGTTCTGGGCAGGAATTAGCTTCACAGAGTAGCTGATGTTTGTGTGGACGGCAGGAAACGGATACCGGACCCACGGCCCCCAGTCCAAGTCCCACACCTGGATGCTTGGGTTGCCAAGCAGTAGGCTACTAGTGTTGTTGGCGCCCTTCGCACAGGTGAGATTGAAGCCCGGCAGGGAGCAGTCTGCCCCTATCCCGAACGGATACGCGATGGAGATGCCATCACATTGGTCAGGGCAGCTGCTTCGCCTAGTCTTCACCGAGACAGCTGTTGGACACGGAGCAACGAGTAGTCCGAGCACAAGTGTTGCCATGGCTATGCTCATCTTTGGAGAATTCATATCTGTTCTATATAACTGAGAGGATATATGCTTCGACTTATTTACTTCATAGCAGTATGGCACAACTTAGCCTTATATAGAGAGAGACTTGTATTGACCAGGGAGACCAGTCATGTCATTTTCGGTCTTTAACTCTGGATGGCAATAGCAATGGCATGTTCCTAATACCCTCTCTAGTGGTTCGGGCAGAGGAATTTTCTGTAATCTGCCGTGGAAGACGGGCTGATGCGGAGTCTTTGCTCCTGGTCTCCGTGGAATTCAAGGTTCCGCTGACAAGTTTGACGAGCTTGACATAATATTTTATTGTCTCCTCCGTGGAATCCAATGCTCTTAGTTTATGTTTACCTATGCCCAACTTTTTTTTCTTTCATAATATTTTATTGTTCTGTGATTGAGCTGATTGTAAATTTATAGTTCACCTCTCTTTTCTCTTTTTTTTTCTCCATCTCAATATTCAACCTACTAAAAATCTCTTATTATATTTGCTCCAACCTATTTCATGTCTCAAATTATAAAATATTTTGATTTTTCTAGATATATTTATTTTATTATGTATATATCTAAGTGTATAGTAAAGATAATATATTAAAAAAGCCAAAACTTATTATAATTTGAAATGCTGAGAGAGCAAGAAGCAAGAACTAGAGTACCTACGAGCGAGCCTACGACGACGTGTTTACCCTGGGGTAAAAGGCTCTGGCTCATGGTTGGAATAGTCCTAGGCTAGCTTGCCACATAATGCGTGTACGACCACGGTGCTGTGGTTCCTCGCAACAACCATGTGGCACAGGACACGTCCTATCTGTCCCGGTGGACTGACGGTGTCCACCCACGTGACCCGCAGGGCAGCTTTTCTACAGTCCGTCCCGTCTTGTCCAAGTCCAACCCGTCAGTCCCCGGCCCTACCTCTAGTCATGTGTTCATGTCCACAGGGCTCGGGTGGAAAACTAAAAATGAACAGCGGCTTTCTGCGCCACGCCATGCGTCGTGGCGCCACGCTCAGATCCACGGCACGGTAGCGGCAGACTCGGCCACGTCATCGGTCAGCGGCCCTGGTCACTGCTACGTTGGTAGCCTCACCGTGCCACCATACATGGCACGGCACAGGAGTTTCGCCGCGCGAAAGAAATAGACGCGGCCAAAAATATTAGTTTTGGAAAAGAAAAAAATAAACAATATCAGTTTTAAAAATAGTTTAAAAAATATGTTAGAAAAAAAAAATCGCCGATGACCTGGTGTCCTGAGTCATGCTTCACTTTCAAAGTGGATTTATTGGACCTGCATTTGTAAACTTCAGGATTTCAATCGAGCTGTAACAGCAGCATCTGAACATTTTCCTTAACAGGCTCACATGCTTCCTTCTGTAATCTGTAGTCCTGCTTAGGTTTTTGCTCTACATACAGAAATGACAGCCCAGAGCAGCAAAGGCACCAGAATACTCTCAACAGCACAATGATGACTTCAACCTAGCGTGGTATGCGCAGGAATATATATGGCCATCGGGCCGGGCCGGCTCGGCACGGCCCGGCATCGGGCGAACACGGCCCGCTGGTAGTCGGGCCGCACGCGCACGCCGTGCCCCCTGCGTTGCGTGCTTTACTGGGACCTCGTGCCCGTTGATGACCAAGCATGGCCCCTCGGGCTGAAAATTGGTCGTGCTTACCAGACACATGACCCGGCCAAAAACTTGCGGGCCGTGCCACCCCACAACCCAAATTGTAAAACCACTCATCGATTCTTAATCAACAAACATTCATAATTTTGACAAGTCATTCACGAGAATCACAAAAACAACTTAACTATTTAACAACTTAACAAAGAAGACTCAAACACAACAAAAGACAGAGATTTAAAGATAGAAATGAGTCAGTGCAATGTTGCCTCATTAAAAACCTTTTTGGGTAAAACTCACCCTTGTGAGAAACCCCAAAAAGGAAAAAAAGGCAACCACAGCTCTTATAATGTTCAAATGTTCACAATACAAATACCAGATACAAGCATTATGTCTCAACTCTCAAGCCTCACAGTGTCTCAATCTCAACTCTCTCAAATGAACTCTCAACTCTCACTCTCGGGTAGCAGCAAGGCGAAGCATAAATGAAGCACTTGCAGATGTGCTAGCGAAGGAGGCCCAGATCCATCTTCAGAACATCAAGATACAGATTCTCAAAGGACTCTCCCACTCTTGGTTGTCGTGAGAATGTTGAAGTCTTCTATCACCCAGCTCCCAGTCCTTGATGCAAGCAAGCATCTCCACATGTTCAGCGAAAGTCTTCTAAGCCGCTCCTCAATAATCCTTCCCATTAAATCTGAAACATGATTACAAGAGACAGTAGAAACGAGAATGTACATAATATCTCTTGCCATTATAGAAAGAACAGAGATAGGTTAGTTTGTGGTCACGCCACCAGAGAAGCAAATCAAAATCATCCTCATATGCAAAGTGACATTGTCACTATCCGTATAAGTTGTGAGCTCACAAGCAACAGAGGCAAAGCAGATTGAGTTGAAGTGGAGACAGAGGCGGGGGGAGGATGACCAACAACAAATGATGATCCAGGGCCGCCAAAGATCCTTCCCATGCTTGTTTCCTCTTACACTGAAAGTTGATCAGGGATGTACAGCCTTTGAGACCTTGTAGAACCATACTTGCTGTCATACTTGGCAAATAACTTGTAAATTTCAGTTTTAACATCAAAGATAATATTTATTGTAATCAACACCAATGTTCTCTTTAAGTATTACCAAAGACATTAAACAAACCTCTCAACTTAGCTCTAGGATCAAGAATGAAAGCAATAGAATATAACAGAGGTATATTTTCCCAATACTTAAGATATTTAAGCTTCATAGGATAGACAACATACCATTAGATTTTGATCTTTTTCACTTTCATGCAAATGATGAGCAATGTCAAGCATATGGTGCGTAATTAGTGGACTAGTTGGATAGTAAACACCAGGATAGAACACATGTTGATTCATAAAATAATTCCAGAACTCCAATATCTTGGCAACAATGAGCCAATGTCTTGGAGTCAACAATGTCTTGACCAAAATTTGCATTAATGAACACACGAAAAAACCTCCTTGTAAGGTAGCAAGTGTTTAAGCATAAGGTATGTAGCATTCCATCTCACATCCATATCTAAACCAAACTTTCTAGGTCTAACACCACGAGCATTGCAATAATTCTTAAACATGGCAATTCTGTGGATTAGATGAATTTAAGAAGTTAATAGCAGTTCTAAAATCCTCTCGTGTAAGTTTTAAATCTCTTTAAACCAGATTTCACAATTAAATTAATGATATGGCAAGCACAACGTACGATGCATAAGATTATATTTACGCTTATTAGGATCTGATGAAGTAGGTGTCGGATCGTAACCTAAATAACATGCAAACATGGGTGTCAAAGTCTCCATTGCCTTAGCATTGGAGGAAGCATTGTCTAGGGTAATGTAATAAATCTTGTCAATCATACCAAATTCTCGAACCACACAAGCAATTTTTTCGAAATATTCTCACCAAAGGTGCTTCACCTCAATCAACTTTGAGGCCAATTACCTTTTTTTGTAGCTCCCAATCAGCACTCACATAATGAGCAACTACACTAATGTAGTCCTCCTTAGCATTTCCAAACCATATGTCGATGTCAAAGCAAATGATGATGCACCGGACAAAACATGATTCTTAAGCATATTACGACGTTCAATAGAATAGAGCACGAAGGTCTCTAGTGGTGGACTGCCTAGACACCCTACTGAAACCTAGGGTTATGAGCACGTTGAATGTACTCCTCAAATGCATCTCAGATCACCAATACCCAAAGGCAAATCAAGCCTAGCAATCAATCTGCAGAGTTCGATTCTAGCTACCTCGTGTTTATAATCCCGCTTATGCACGCAGAACCATCGATTGTAAGATAGCCTAGATTGAACCCTATCACGTTGATCGGTTTTACGCCTACAAGAGTTCTGTGCCTCTTCAAGTGACCAAAGGCCAAGACTAGATCTAGCGAGACAAAGTTGACTTACACATCTTACATTTAGCTTTAGTGCAAATCAGTACTCCATTCACGGTCTCAAATATCTCTTCAAAATCATCCCAGACGGAGATTTACGCTACCAACCTTACCATTACCAAAGCGACAGAATGATGGAACAGAGCCGTTGGAGTTGGAGCCGACCGGGTTCGCAGACGCCGCCGCCTTCACCACCGTCGCCGTCTCCGAGATCGACACCGAACAACGCAGCAGCGGCGTCATCACGGATGTCGTCGTCGTTCTCGCCCTCGGGGGGCCATGCCAGCGGAAGCTTCGCCATCGTCTTCAGCCATGGTCGCCTCTCCAGCACCGTACCTCAACGGTGCGGGTGGCCGCCTTGCTCCTCGCTCTATGCCGCAGCTAGAGCTTGAAGCATCGGCTACCGACCTGCGAAGGAGGAAGGAATAGATCAGTTAGAGATCTCATCAAAAAAAGAAGAAAGATGGGGATTAGGGTTAGCCGGTTAGGGTTAGGGTTAGGAGCTTACCTTCATGGCCGGAGCCCGGTGCTTGAGAAGAAGAAAACGACGACGCCCCCATGCCGAGAAGACGACACAAGGTCAACAAGGACGGCGGCGGAGGAGGGAGGAGGGACAAACGGGGTCAACAAACTCACATAATCACCGAGATCTAGAGGGAGAAAGGTAGATGGAGAAGGGAGAGGTAGAGAGGGTGAGGAGCACGCCATAGCAATGGGCGGTTCGAGGTCACCGAGTCGGGTCGACGACAACACGATGGATACGGCCATACGGGCGAGGCGAGAGTGCGGCGTCATGGGGCAGCAGGGATGGTGAGAGTGGAGAGCGGGGAGAGAGAAGAGTCAATCGAGTGATTTAGGTTTAGGGTTTGTGAGGGCGCTGGTGCCGCCGCCTTGCCCCCCTCACGCTTATATGGCAGGTCGCAGGGGAGGCCAGAGGCCAAAGCGCCTTG